ATATTTTTCATGAATTTCAAAGCTACCTTGATTCAAAGAATGCATTGAAATAAAAACTACCATTTGAAAAAGGCAATATCTGAAGGTTAGGTGTAGGATTAGGTGTTTGTTCTATTTGAAATAACAAAGTTGTCTTTGTCCGAAATTATGAAAAAGTGACAATGATTTTTGAATAATAGGTATAATATTGAAAAACTTGTTTTATCGAACATCGAAGGAATAATTACTGTACATTTGGATGTTATTTTGTTTCCAATGGTACCTAGCATTTTCATAAAAAATCAATAACTCGAGAACGGTTATAGTTAGGTAATAGTTAATTTTATAAAATCAATACTTTTTTCTGACATATTCAAAAATGTAACGACACACAGGGTGTTTCATGAAAAAAATCACAACTTTGATATGTCACACTTTCTTGAGCCACCCTCCAGACTCCAAAATAATTTCCCTCTGCAGCCTTAAACAATATACATATAACCAATAATACAAAAATAAGTTTAGATGATTTTTTATTAACAGTATCTAGCATGAAATTTGGTCTAGTAAACTTTAAGTCTAGTAAATAAATCACCTCATGTAAAATATGTTACCTACTTTCTTCAATTACATGTTTTCCTCTAAAAATACTTAGACCTGTTATATCCAGAAATTAGCCAATAAAGCAATCAATCCATTAATGTAAACCATATCTATTGTACGTTATCTGTATTGTGAAAATTAATCCAACAAGTTCAAGTAGAGGTCTAACTGAAGGGCAAACCTTGAGTTGCTTATCAGCTTATCACATTTTTTGGTTTTATTTCCTGACATTGAATGGAATTAGAGATAACCCCTCTTATTATTTGCAGAATTATGAACGGGCAGGTACGGTGTCAGAAATTTTTTGTTTAACGATATTATATGAGTACTCGGATGATTTGGGAATAAGCGATTTTTTAATAAATACAATTCAAAAAATTGTGTGGGTTTTTATAGCCATCTCGACTGAAAATAGGTAGATAACAAACTTTTGGAAATAAAACTCAAAACATTTATCTTTCACAATGTTCGTACTAAAGTTGCGTCTTGTGTTGACAAGACAAGAAAATGCGGCTTGTCTCGTCGAGAAAAATATCCTTTCTCGTCTTGACAAGAATACCGTTTCTCTCGAGATAAGATTTCCAGTAACAGGTGTAGGCGAAGTAAGTGATATAGTAATTCTTAAAGCTATCGGCGAACTCAAAGGCCAAAAAAAAACACTACAAAGAAATAATGCCGCTACGAATTAGTCCACGTCGACTGAAGAACTGGCGGTTCGTATTGGATAATTTTTACTAACCGAGTTTAATGATTGGCTGAAGAGTCATAAAATTGAATTTGAAGTCATGTTACGGTGACCAATAGAATGTAGCGATGTACTGCCGTTGTATCGTCAATGTTCACTTCAGGAACTGATCGCGATTTGAGTGTTGAAATTCGATAGTGGTGAAGTTATTATAATTACTTAAAATTTTTGTTATTTGTTTAAAATGTGTCTTTGGACAAGTATTAATAGTAATAACGAATGTGATAACAACACAGACTTTTTTCTGTGTAGTGATTCCAATAGCGCTGGTGAACAATGCAAAAAGAGATACCAGTGAATAAGATTTGGATGCCTTTGAATATTGAAACACAGAGAGTATATTTGATTTCGAGGAAAAAAAACTATTACAAGCAACATCAGATTTGACCGAAATTCCTTTCTCAACTGTACGTAAAATAGTCAAAAAGAAATCTTATTAACGCAAGACGCGATGTAATGCGGGATTACCAAAACCTTTAGATGTTCATTTAATAAAGTCTTTAAAAAACAATATACGACTGTTACAAAAGCAATGAGATTCCTACAATTAAAATCATAAGGAAGAAATTGAATACTTTCGGCCATAGCGTGAGCTGCTGTGACAAAACTCTTCAAATTGGATAAAGAAACTAGGATTTAGATTTAAAATAATAAACAAACGTCAAGTAGTTATGGAAAGCAGAAGAATAGTGCAATTGCGTAACAAATACTTAGAGCAAATAACTAAATATAGACAAGAACAAGGGAAAATGTTCTATTTGGACGAAACTTGGTATGACACTCACGACACAGTTAAGAAAGATTGGACAGATGGTTCGAAAATGTGTACGCCTAACATGCCTGTAAACAAAGGATCGCGACTAATCATTATGCATTGCGGCGGAATTCTTTGAAATCATCTGAAAAAATACTTGACGACTGCAATGTTGACTATCATAAGAACATCGAAGCTAATATTTTCGAGAAATGATTTGAAAACACATTGATCCCAAATTTGGGTGTGAATAGTGAAATAGTTCTTGACAACGCTCCCTATCATTCGCGACAGCTCATCAAAGTAACGAATAAATATACGAGGAAAGATGAAAAAATAAGTTTTTTAATAGATAACAATTTTTATTTTGAAGAATACTATACCAAAAACCACCTTCTTCAAGTTTTACAGACAAAAACATTTGAGAAAGTGTATACCCTTGAGAGTATTGCTGAAACGTATGGACACACCATACTGGGACTTCCCCCCTATTTTTGTGTTTTCAATCCCATCGAGTTGATTTGGGGAAAATTGAAACAAAGCATCAGGCGTAAAAACAATTTTCCAAAATTTGATAAGAAGGTAATAGAACTAGTTGAAAAAGAAGTATCTAATATTACCGAAGAAGACTGGCAGATAAGGTTTAAAAATATAATTTTAGTTGAAAAAGACTAACGGAGATTGGACGCTTCCATATTAATGGTGGAAATAAATTCATTATTGATTTAAACGACGACAGTGATAATGAAACAGCGAATATGGAAGAGGAATTATCCGAAGCTTTCGAAGAAATTTAGTGAAGTGTTTTTGAAGCGATCAGGAGCTTTCGCTTCTAATGGGAAGCTTCTTCAGGACGGTAAAAATGAGAAAAAAACAATGAATTGAACATTAAATCGACGAAAGAAAGTTAAACATCAATGGATTTTTGTGGATTCACAAATGTCATACCTTCACATGTGAAGGCTGGCCAGTTCCGTGGACCTCCTCGTCCTATCCATCTATTTGGATATTATCGATCTAACTCGTTTCTAACACGTCTATCAAAGTATACAGGAGCACCATCTAGCTACATCCGTTGACGAATATTAGGAGGTATACAACAGCACAGGCAAATTATCTCTAATAAATCCGAGAAACATGACGCCGTTTAAATGACCATGACTTGCGTTCCAATTATTCCACCTCACACATTAACACACCATCTGTGCTGGTAATCAAGGGTTCTAAAAATATTAGGGTTTTCGTCACGATAGTAGTGAAAGTTATGTCTGTTAACTAATCAGTTGTGATCAGTTGACTCGTCGAAAAAAAGCACATAATCAAAAAAAAATTCTTCATCACCAAACTTTTCTGAAATCAATAAACAAAAATTGAGTCGTCGACCATACTCTTCTTCTAAAAGCTGTTGATGTAGTTAAATGCGATACGGGTGTAATTAGTAATTTTTAATCATTCTTTGGATACTCTGTTTGCTCATTCCAGTTGTTTCACATATTTTTCGTTGACTTGTGTGAGGGTGTTCGGAAAAGCTGCAACAACTTTTCCAATGAACGCTTGTTACGATGAATCTTGTTAGGATAACACGCATTTACTCCTGACGCTAATGAACAGTTTTTTCACACTCACCGATTATCAAAATCATATCAACTCGTGCTTCCTGGAGATAAGTTCTCATTTTACAGTATTTCAAAATAACAATAATTTTGAAGTAGTTAAAACAATGATTATTTCCACCTTTGCCGTTTGTCGTATGGCTTTTGATAGTGTTTGCCGCAGTAGCAGACGAAACGCCAGGTATAAAAACCTGCAGACCACGGCTAATAAACCCAGAAACACCTGATTGGAAGTCTATTATCAATATTGTTTTTGAAATGATGCTTTTTGATGAGAATTTTGTCGTAGTTTGATATCTCCACCCCCAACATGAGAAATGTGTCAGTCAGGAAGTCCAGCGAAACTGTCGTTATCACTGTTAAAAAAATTGTGTAAATTCACATAACATTACGTTGGCCACAAATAACCAACGTAATGTCATACAACAGTGGTTGTAACGAAGACAGTTCATTATAAATTATGTAGAACAAAAACCGTTGAAATAATGGAGAATAACACGAGAATTTATATTTATTTATAACACAAATACTAATGAAACAGTCAAATATGAATTGGATTAATTCTGCATATGTTATGTAATTTTAAATAATATTTTAAGTAAATTTCCTCAAAAGTAACTCAAAATTCTGTGATAGGCAACGCAATTTTGCAGAAGAACTTATGTAATATTTACCTTATTTATAATGTGTTTTCACATTGTATATTTCCATTTTCACTGTATTTTTACAATGTATTATAACAATGTGTTTTCACATATTTCATCGTCATTTCACAATGGACATATTTCACTTTTGCCTTTATGTTAATTTGAAAGTTGAGTGTTATATATCAAAGGGAAGGTTTTATCAAGCATAGCACTGAAATAAAAGCATGTCTGATGAATCTATCTCAGAGCATTCCTATTGTTACCATTTCCGGATTGAAAATTCCACGTAGGTAGCTTTAGTTGCCTTTTGTAAATACTAGATCTTCTTACAAAAACCACAGATGTGACTTCTGTTGATGACTGCATATAGTTGTGCTTTCATTTGTAATCATCTAATTGCCCAATCCATGCCATTTGACTAGACCATATTGATAAGGGCCAACTAGTCCAAAACACGTGTCTTTTCGAATCCAATTATATGTTATTACGTGAAGGTCGAATCCAAATATATATTTCAATGTATAACAAAATTATCATATCTCACTGAGGAATGTATACATGGACCTGAATCATTTTTTCAAAGAGTTGTATCATATCAGGATACTATGAGTCAAGAATGTGTACCAAATTTAATAAAATTCAATAAATTAAAGTTCAACTAATCTTTGGAACACGAATTTAATGCATACTGAGAAATGAAACATATGACATCTAACAATAATAACCAACTAGAAAATAATGTTGTTGAAACTTAACTAGAATTCAATTCAACATCATCATTGCAGCATATATTGCATGAACATTAGAAAAAAAAATACATTTCAAACATAAAAACACATTAAATTAGGTTTCTGTTACAATGAAACTGGAAGAGTATTATCAACTGTAAGTTATAAGTAAATAAATATTACTGGAGTTTTTTCTCTACACCACATCTTCAAGTTTTGATCTTCCTGTTGAAGATGATCACTTATTTATCGAAACACGTGCGGAAATGTTAAAATAACGGTTTGGTGTTGAGAAAAACTCTAGTAATATTCATTACTACACCAAACGTTCCAAACAGTGCATCACAAATAAGTACATAAGTTAATTTCAAGCATATTATTTTATAAAATCTTCAATTTTGAAGTTTGACAAATTTGTTTATGAAATTGAAAACTATTTTCTTCACCGGATTCAGCCTTTTATATTTGGAACCCGAATCTGCTGAATTTTCAAAATTAGCCGCTGTAACAACTCTAATATTATTGAAAAACCTTTTGGATATTGATTATTGAGGGTGAAGTATAAATCAAAAGCCAACTTCAATGCTTCTAGGAAATTCACAAATCCTTCTACATTAACTTCTTCCTGCTCGACGTATACATAATAAACGGAATTCGTGGTTGCTGCAAGAAAAGTGAATATTGTTAATATGTGATATTTTTATATACTCAATTTCAGAAAAACTTTCGCTTGATTCATCTGATATTAGTTTGAAAACAAAAATTAAAATTTCTATAAGATTTCGGGAATATTGTGTTTGCTGTTATCACCCGAAGACGAATGTGTAAGCAGATAAATTTCGCATCACTCCAGTAACGGTGGAAATATTGATGTCAGTCATACTTTCTTAGTGATACACATTCATATAAACACAATTTACATTTGAACATTATCTCTTACCTTTTCAATCACTTTGAATACCTCACTAGTTGTACAATAAACCTTTATTTAAAAACAATGAAATCACGAATGAACCGGTCATCGGTTATAGGGGTATGCGCCTCGCTCCCCGCGACCCGAAGTTATTTTCGATCTTTATTTAATGCACACTGCCTACGAGCAATTATCCTTTTCCGACAACACGATAACATGTTAATGGACTGATCCAAATATACTTAATATACACTGTGAAATCTACCCATTTGATGTGTGAGCTGTAAAGAATATTGGTAGTGATTTTACCAATATTTATTAAAATTCACAGATCACTTCCTGTACATTAATTGATTCCATAACTTTCCAGGGAAAGTTCACATTTCATCTGAATATTCACAAAGTAAAATAAGTTTTACTTCATTTGTGTTGATTTATTACACAACTTTTCATTGTTACATCATATATCAGGTTATTACACTAACACAGATTTTTAATTGTGAAATATTTCCTAATAAGTTCTGGAAACTTACTTCAATTTTTAACAGTGTGACATTGACAAATCATTATCATTGAATTTTCACATCAATAGTGATATCATTCAATTGGATTCCTGAAAATGATGAAAGTTGTCGACTCTAGCCCCATCATACTGTATCGCTAATCTATTTGTTTTGTATTGATAACCTTGAATTTCGCAACATTTTCCAAACTGTTCTGCGCAATAAGTGAATATCCAACTGTATTTCATCAGTATCGTCGACAACAACAAATTTTTCATGCAGAGATATAATCTAAGTCAAACACTCGGATAAGTCATAATTCCCGAAATTGCATTCAAAAATAGAATCATTACTAAATGAGTGGAATATGTGAATCGGTTCCTGAATTACCTAGTATCCATACCGACGAGTCGAATCGCACGTTCAAGGTCGGTTTGATTAGGTACTCAGAAACGTATCATACCCATTTTTACATCGCGAAAAAATTCAATTAGGCTTGATCCACGATTACCCCATTTGATTACACGAGGCGAGGTCGTAATTTAATTTCTTGGAAGATCAATGAAATTGGACGAATTATATTCAAGATGGCGACCGGTTCGGACTGGCCGTCATTCGCTCCCAAAGAAAACGATACTAACGTATGTAAACATTGCTGTAAAAAAGTAGTCAACAAAGTTGAGTGTAATAAATGTGGTGAACACTTCCACCCCGCGTGCCTTAAGCAGTCTAGTGAACAAAAGAAAGCTGGATGCAAACATGAATATGACCAACACACGAGGACATAACCTCACAGAGGAAACCTATCTTAGAGGTAGGTATTAAGAAACATCATAGCAGACAAAAACACAATAATTGCAGATAAGGAGTAAGTAATATCACTCTTGGAGGGTATCACTCTTGAAGAAAAATTGGCATTAATTAATGCAAATAAAACGGATACTCAAACAAAACACCAAATCAATGAGGCAACAAAAAAAAAGAGATAAAGTTGAAATCACAAAAAAATGGTCTTCCACAAAAAAGGGTAAACAATACCATAAAAATGAGTCATCAGAACAAGGAACCCCTAACATACAGAATGGCCCAAATATCACAGTGAATCAGCTGGCAACAGAAGTTATGAAAATTCGAAAAGAAAAAAAGGCCGAAGAAATAATAAATCTTGAAAATGTGAATTTTGCTCTCGAAATTAAACAAAATCCGATATACAACAAAGTATCTGAAATACCCAGTACTTATACGAATTTATAACAGTATCTAGGCAGAGAATACCGAAAATAACTAAGCACAAAGTAGGAAGCGGTGAGGGTGATGAACAATTTAGAGGAAGCCCTGAAACAAACCTAAAAAAAATCTGGTTATTTGTGTCAAGAGTGCCTGACGAAGTGAGAGAAGAAAACACACCAATTCCACGATCCTCTATGTCAAAAAACTCAACACATTGCCCGTTAGGATCAATAACCAAGCTTTTATGATTGGTGTAGACCCCAACTTACAACAACAAGTTTATGAACCAAGCTTTTGGCCGGAAAACATACACTTCAGCCGTTTTGACTTTTGAAAGGGTCAACGCTTCCTGGACAGCCAACAAACATCTAAGCCACATCAAACGAGCCCAAATTTTTGAAACCACGCCTCATTTCTGACTCCAACACCGTAAATCATAATTTTCAATTATTGCATATAAATATTCAAAGTCTATCAAACAAAATAAACCTTCTTGAATTATTTTGTAATCCTAATAAACCAACTTTTATTTGTATAACTGAACACTGGTTGTGTCATGAAAAGGTAAAAAACACTAGGATAGCGGGTTATGAACTAGTCTCCAGCTTCAGCAGGTCTCAGCTTGAACACGGCGGTACAGCAATATTTGTCCAGTCTCAGTTTCTCAAACATTGTAAAAACCTATCGTATCGAGTGTTTTGCCATAGAATTGAACAAAGAGTTGTGCATTGTCACAATCTATCGAAGCTCATCCAATGATGCAGATCCGCAGTCATTCCTTGATAACCTAAATCACATCTCAAACAATGTATCAGATAAGTATGCAAACTCTGTAATCTGTGGGGATTTCAATATAGATTTTATGGAAAATAGCTACTATAAAAAACAACTTTTTGATCTATTTGAAATGTTCAACATGAATTTACTTTATAACGAACCAATACGTATAGCTAGACATGGAAAACACTTGACCGTCAGTGGGCTTGATTACGTAATAAGTAACATAGAAAACTCATCCCGTAAAATCTTTGACTCAGGAATATCCGACTACTCTGCCCAGATCATGAGTTGGTCCACAACAAACAACAATAAATTGAAACAAACAATAAAACAAATATTTTAACATGAAAATTCTGCTCAAACTCAATGCATGAATTCAAATCTTTATATATAAAAAATAAAACAAAGATATTGCAAAATAGTAATGTTGAAATCGTATTAGATAACTTTTTATCTCACTTTTTCTGGTGTTTTGAGATAGCTTTTCCAATGCAAGAAGTTAAATTAGAAAAAATACATCAATAGGAAAAATTCCATTTTCTATAGAATTGCATTGAGAACTTGAAAACTTAAAAGATGTGAATTGGCTGAGGAAAAGAGCCAGTGAGTGCTGTTCGAATGAAAAGTATAAGCAAATGAAAAGGGAACTCAATATAAAAATATCTTCTAAAAAAAAATATATCACTCTAACCTAATAAACAATTCTAATAACAAATCAAAGACCTTGTGGAATCTGGTAAAAATGATAAAAGGTACCAATAAGAACGAAAAGGAAAACCTAATTTTAACTCATAACGGGAAAAAAATTTCTGACAAACAGGAAGTTGCAAATCTGGTTGGAGATTATTTTGCAATCTCAGTGGAAAGAAAAATAATCTCTCTCAACTTGCCTCAAAATATTGTAACAAAGCATGTTCTTCAAACTTATTAGCGATTGTGATATCAAGCACATTATCCTGGGTCTAAAAAACTAATACTTTGCAGGGATCGATGAGATTCCAGCTTTACTACTAAGACTGTGTCGAAGAAATCGCAAGTGAATTGGCCACTCTTGTGAACCTATCAGTTACACAAGGTTGCTTTCCAAAGAAATTAAAAATCACAAAAAACATCCCAGCGTTTAAAAAAAGAGACACGCATTATATAGAAAACTATAGAATGATATGTATACTCAACTGCTTTTCAAAAGTTATAGAAACAGTTGTGTACAATCAATTGATAAATTACCTAGAGCATAGAAAAATATTAACCCTTTGTCAGCACGTTTTCCGACCCAACTACTCCATTGAAACCGCGTCAACAGATATGATTCAGTATATCTATGAAAATATCGATAAAAATAAATATGTAGTAGGACTTTTCTTTGACCTCACCCGCGCCTTTGACACCATTAATCCATACTTCTTGAAGATAAAATTAGAAGCAATGGGCATTCGAGATCCCATACAATCTTTCATTTTATCATACATGACCGGCAGAACCCTAAAAGTTGAGGTCAATAAAGAACTTTCAGAGGAAAAAAATATTTTCCTTGGGACTCCTCAAGGTGGATTATTGGGTCCTTTGCTGTTTTTATTGTATATCAATGACCTACCTCTCCACATTAAGGACATGTCTTCATTTATGCAGATGATTCAACAATTAACCTAAATTAATTTAACAAAACATGGTCCCCTGTATGCTGGAGGCTACTTTTATAACCTGCTTCCCGAATGCATAAAATTAGCAAAAAATTTAAAAATTTTAAAATCCGACCTTTTATTCACTAACTGAATACAATGAGTTGAATATTAGAACTACATCCAATGACCAATAGACAAATTTTTCACACTTTTAATTTGTTTTATATGTACATTTCATTTCATTTTATTTTATATTTTCAACAATTTTTGTAAGTTTCGACTTATATTTGTATGTGTATGCTAAATCAATTATTTAATGTTTTATGTGTAAATACCTGACTATTCAAACTATTATATTTATCTTATTTGTGTGACTACCATTGGACTTATCTCATGTCATGTAATTGATTTATGGAGATTAATAAAATTATCTATCTATTTATCTATAAAATGTTAGAAGGTGGTTGACAATGTTTCATGATAAATTTCATTAGTTCGGACTTCCATTGCCAAATATGATGTAGAATGATTTGAAATCCGTTAATGAATCAATAAAATTGAAATGAATAGCTGAAAAATACAAGCAACAATTGAAAATTGAACATTTAAAAAAATTGAAAAGATCACAATCGTTTTCGGGTGATGACTGTCACCTCCCGAAGTCAATTTCAATAATTCTTTAAGAAATTTCAAATCATTCTACATCATATCAGACAATGGAAGTCCGAACTAATTGTGTTATAATGTGATAAATGGTTATATTTTTCGAGTAAACCAGAACATATGAGTGTCTGTCATTTGAAAATTGTCTATCCCGATACTTTCGGTCGGTGAGTAACCGATCGGTTCTTCGTAGATGTTTTGTTCACTCTCTCAAACGACTGCCGTGTTAGTCGGTAGTTCAAGTCGCAGGCTGAACGATCGATTTTCACTTGCTATCGTCCAACCGGTGTTAGGAATCACACGTTGAAAGGTAAGACCTCGTTAATCCTTAGCTCGCACAAGTTTTGACTACGGTTGTCGTTCGTAAGGGTGCGACAGCTGGTTAACGAAAACACATATTTTAAACATATACTTTCAATAATACTCATCGCAATTACAATTAGTGAGACCAGTCGCTTTTATATACGATTTACTCATATTTCGAAACGCAAATCAAATTTGTTCATAATAGCAATTCCACACAAAAGAAACAATCTATGTATGAATAAATAGGAAACATCTACGAAATATAAGTATCTTTCCATATACATTTATATTTGAATTGAAGGGGTTATATTTTTTAGGAGTGATTAATTTTATTTTTTTTGTATCAAGATGGAGTAGTAGAGAGCCAAAAACTTTCTTTCCCAAAAATTTATATTTGCGTTTCTAATTCAATAAACAAATCGCAACCAGCTGAATAAAAAGTAATATAAGCTGAATAAAAGTGAATATAAATTCACACATACAGCCAGATACACACATACACCCCAATTATCTAAGGTAGTTCTACACACGTATACAATACAATAACTCATAATACACTAACTATACACTCCATATCAGTTATTAATAATGATATCATTTCTTTGGGCATTTCAAGTTGACATCTCTCTTCCAATCAATCTGATCGTACCCATCTTTCATAAAATGTTTCAAAGATTTATACATTTTTATTTTCATGAATGGAAGCATGAATTTATTTATCTTTCTTGCTCTTTA